GGACGCGCGCGGCCGCCGCGATGCCGGGCGGGCAGCCCCCCCGGGACCCGGGGACCGTGGGCTGTGCAGACCCCTCCTGGCCTGGGAGCAGCGTGCTCCGATCCGTGGCGCTTGTGCAAGGGCTGTAATGATTGCACAAGGGCGATTGTTACCGTGCTGCGGGGCCCCCTCTCTCCTGGCACCGCACCCGTGTGCTGGGGCCGGTGGCAGCCAACACCGCGGTCTCCCCGGTCGCTTCGCAAAGCAGCGGCCGCAGGGTCGTTTTGCAAGTGGACGAGGGAGACGCCAGGGCTGGGGGACGCTGCAGCACGGGGACACCAGAGATGGTGATTTTTCGTGCCGTGTACATGGACGACTCGTAAGGGGCACACGCGCCCCGGAGAGGAGCGAGGCCAGCACGGCAGGCGGCAGTGCAAACAGACGTGGCAGCAGCTGCCCTCCTCGCTGATCCTTATAGCAGGAGCGCTGCGCGCCGGGGAAAGCCTCGGTGCAGGTAACGGGACGGCCTCGGCTCTGCTATGACCCCCCCGGGCAGAAGGCAGGTGTCACTTCCGCAGAGACAAAGGTTGAGTGATGCATGGGGGCAAAAATAGCCTGAGCTAGACCTACACCGTGCTGGGCTCTACCTCAGCTGCTTGACCTGGGTGTCACTTGTTAAAAACAGCAGCCAGCAAACATCACGTTAGGGACGGTGAAGAAGGGAACTGCGAACACAACAGGAAGCATCATGAGGCCCCTTTATAAACCCTCGGAGCGTCCACACCTTGAACCCGGTGCCCGGCTCAGGTGCCCGCAGCCCCGGGAGGAGAGAGGAGAGCTGGAGACGGTGCGGAGCAGGGCAGCAAGGAGGCCCGGGGGCTGCGGAGGGGCTTGCTAGGAGCAGAGACTGAGGCCAGGCCTAGGAGAGACGCCGGAGGGGACAGGAGCAGGGTTTGCATTGCACTGAACGGGGAGGAGAAAGTCCCTGGGGTTTATTCCTGCCCGTCTCTGCCCGGACAGAGCGGGGATCCTGGCACGGGCAGCTGCCAACCAAGCCCAGGCCGTCCTGTCCCCCCGCGGGGCGTTCAAGGGGGACTCGTGGCCCCAGACGTGGTGGAGCTGAGAGCGCAGCCGGATCCCCCGGGGACCGGACACGTGCGGGGAGGAAAGGGGCACGGGGAGCGCTGGGGCAGGGAGCGAGGGGCACGGCCTCTGCACCAGCCCTGCAGGACCCTCCGTGCTGGAGGAACAGGGGAAAGCCCTGCTCGGCCCGGGCGCATGGGGCAGGACGGGCCTGGGGCTGAGCCAGGATGTGGCAGCTCGGATGCTGTTGTATCTGGCCTCCCAAGCCCGAGGCCACGCGGGCAGAGGTGCCAGCAGCGTGCTGTGCGAGCAGGGCCGTGCCGGGGGAGGACTGGCACAAAGCAGGCTGGGGGAGGCAGGTGCTGCGAGCGCGGCCCCAGAAAAGCCTGCAGAGGCGCGGGGCCCAAGGGCCTGGAGCAGGAACAAAGGCGCCTGTTGTCCGATTCCCGCCGCGCTTGGGGACGTGGCGCTCCGTAAACAAAGGGAATTGTGGCCAAGACAAACCCGGCGCTCTCGCTGCCCCTCCTCTTCCTGCAGCCCCGGACCTGGGCCGAGCCCCGTGAAGGGACGGGGGAGAGGGGAAAGCAGCCGCTCCATAGTCCCGCGTCGCCCGAATTCTCCTCTCGGCCGGATTCTGCTCCCTGCTCGAGGCCGCATCAAGTCGACACTTTGGTGGGCCAGGCTGGGTCGGGTCGGGTCAGGTCAGGCCCCTGGCCTGTCCAGCCCAGCAGCCACAGAACTGGCAGCTGTCGAGGGAGAGCAGGGGTGGGAATGGCTTGGTCCCATGCGGGAGGGGGCAGACCCCAGCTCTGATCCAGCCGTCTAGCGGGAAGGGGGCAAGACCCAGCCCCACACTGGCCGCGGGGAGGCCCCCATCCAGCCACGTGGAGGGGAAGGGGCCTGGCTCGGCCCAGCTCCAACCCGCTGTGCGGGGTTGGGAGTCTGGCAGCAGGCGAGGGCGGCGGTCAGCATTAATTGCCACCAGCTGACAAAGTTCCCACCCCGCAGGCTGGCTCCGCCGGCCGGATTCGGCCGCCTGGCTGGAGAGTGAGCAGCCGTGCTCGAGCGACCCGCCCCGTCCAACACCCCCCGTGGCCTCCCGCATCGGGCTGGAGCGGCGAGGACACGTCTGTGTTCAACCCGGCTCTGCTCTCTGCCGCCCCCCACCACGGCAACGGACTCCGCACGCTAACGCCACGTTGCACCTCAACGCATGGCAGGGAAACGACCAAGTCTTGCCAAGGACAAACCAGCCCTGGAAGGCAGAGGGAATGGAAAGGGGCTCTGAGAGCCCGTGCATGGGGCTTTGCTAGCAGAGACCCTACCCCTAGGACCCGAACTGGCTGACTGATGGGTAATTAAGACCGTAAGAACTGGCAGTTATTAGGTCAGACCGCAAGTCTGTCCAGCCCATCCTCCCGTCACAAGGCTTTTGTTGCCCATCCGTGGCAGCCCCACCAAGTCCCGGGACCTCCTGGTCAACCTCCTCCGGCCCCGGCCAAGCTGGCCGTGTAGGTGCCCCGGACAGAGGCTCAGACCAGGCTTTCCTGTCCAGTCCCGTCCGCGGGCAGAGCATTGCCGGGCAGCGTCCGCTGGTTCCTGGGACCCGCTGGAGGGCCAGTGGGCACTGGGGGGTGCTCTCTGCTCCTCGGGGCGCTCGCCCTGGCCCCCGACCCTCGCTCCCACCCCCGTTTCCTTCCCTGCTCATCCCCGGGATCCCGTGCCAGGCCACTGGTGGGTCCCCACGTCAAGGGGGTGGCAGCCCCACGTGGTGGGCAGTGGCGCAGCCTCCCACGTGCAGCACCGTGAACCACGCAGAGGCTGGAAGGGGGGTGATGGGGTCTGGACAGGGCCCCTGCCCTGCTCCCGCTGGCAGCTTCTAGCCTGGCAGCTCAGGGGTTAAAACAGGCCATAAGAGCTGGGGGGGGCAACCCCTGCCCTTTCGGAGGGGGCGATCCCCTCCCAGAGTCTCGCGGGATTGCTGCCCACGTGCACCCACCTCTAGGGCGGCTACAGGGAAGGCGCATGCGCAGTTGGACGCTTCCAGGCACAGGGGACACGCATGTGCATTAGCAGTGTAAACAGAGCCAACAGGAAGAGCCGCATGCGCACTAGCAGTGTAAACAGCGCCCGCAGGAAGAGGCACATGCGCACTAGCAGCTACCTCCACCCGGCAACTGGCAGCTGGCCTGGACGCATGTGCAGAAAAGTCTGGTGCAAGAGTGGAGGGAGGAACCCGCCACTATCACGTGATCTCCGGCTGGCTGCAGGCAACGAGCGAG